TTGGGGACAAAAGGTCAAAGAAGCACAGAGATATGTTAGTCAGCAGAATTCCTATTAGGCCAGACCCCCAATTGTCAGCCTCTGGGTAACTAACCTGAGTGTTTAGTGGTAGAAGGTTGTTACTATGAGTTGACTGAATGTTTTTTGAGTGTGGTGAGTAGTAGGTAGTGGGTGTTAATACCAGTCCTGTAACAGGAGTTTTCAATATATCAGTATGTTCTTTACTGAGAGGCTTGCTATCAACAGTGCATCTGGATCAATACTTGGTATTAATAGGCATCCAGGGTACTAGGACTCACCTGGGATTAGTGGGTTCCCAAAAGGGAAATGGCTAACAATACTTATTAAGCTTTAAAAAATTAGTTGAAGATTAATAGGTATTGTTGATGGAATATTCAACAAGGCTATGAATATTGTGGATAAGTGGAGTTGTTGACTGCAGCTTAGGAACAATGAAAGTAGACTTGATTTAAGTTGAGTTATGTGTAGGGTATCAAAATAAATGTTAACTATGTTTAACTGGTGTCTGAATATTCTGGGGATTAATCAGTGAAAGAGGCACATATTAAAAGTTCCAGAATATTGAAAGAGGGAAAGAATGAGCACTCAGAATCAAGGGAGCTTTGGCCAGGAGAATGAGCACATCAATTGAGTGACTGATCATTATTTGTCATGATCTGTAAGTGTCATCATAAATGTGTACTAGTGGATCAATGCACTAGTTGCTCTTGATGTGTGCACCTAACAGATCCTCTAATAATGAAGTCATAATTGTGATCAGTACATGTATTGAATTTATTAATTCTATTGTTAATTAATAAACTACATTCAATACTTGTGCATATTTATTTGTAACATTATTTGAACGTGAAAATACTGTAGAACATGGACAACTTGTGGTACAGGTATTTCATGAGTAAAGGAGTGAAAGGTGGGTGATAATTACTTATGTATTTAATTGATAATTAATTACAAGATAAGATACTAGTTAAGTTCATATGTAATCAATGATAATAAGAAAACTATGAATAAAATATTATAAGATAAAATTAGAGATCATTTGTTGGTACCCTTTGCTAGGTACCTGGTATCGCCCACATCCACTGCACACCCGCCAGGCGGTGCCGGGTTCCGGCTTTTGTGGCTAAAAAAGGGGTGGTACCCAGGTACCGCTACAGGTACCGCCCCCACAGGACAGTCCTTGATGGTGACGCACAGCCAAATAGTTCAACAGTTCCAAAGCTCTGATGACTGTTTTGGGTGCTGGAGGATCCATGTAGTCAATGTTGAGATGAACTCAGGTGACTGGAGACAAAGTGTTGGAAAGGATGATGATTCATTTCAACATGAAGAGAGAAGAGAGAAAATGAGAAGGAAAAAGAGAACATACCTGGAGACAAAGTGTTGGAAAGGATGAGGAAAAGAAAGCATCCCAAACACAGCTGAATCCAGAATAAGAACTAAATGAAAAACAAGTGAATGTCACAGGATGTGACATGAGAGAAATGAAATCAGGAAGAAGCACACAAAATGAAATGGGATGTCACAGATATCTCAACAGTCAAAGTGGACCAAGTCGTCCACCCCCAACTTCTTCAATTCTAGTACCACACTGGCTAAGTTTGAACGCAAGATCTCGGGGTAGGTTTGGTCTTCTAATTCCTTAACAAAACTGCTCTTGGTGCATAATCTGAAGCACTTCCCAGGACGTATACAACTGGCTCGTCCGGAATGTTGTTAAGCAGAAGCTTTTGAGATAGGTGAGACTAACAGAGATTTGAATCCAATACGTGGGTTGTAAATCTTTTGTTTCAAAAATCCTGGGTTGATCACATACACAATCCTGTCAATCATCAATGCGGTTTTGGAGATGTTTGTTGATATCACAGCTTTTTGGCTGGGAGGTCCATTTGGAGTAAGCGGTGGTGGTGGTGGATCAAAGATCCACTGTTGTTGTTGGGGAGGTAGAGATGAGTAAATTGGTACACATTTTAATGGACTGACAAGTGAGGAAGTAGAGAGAAGCTGATTGGCTTCAATACTAATCTTTCTACACGCGCCTTCAATTTCTTCTTCACCAGTGAGAAATACCAATACATCACCCGGTTCTTCATTTCTGTGAATCATCAGGCCTGTATGGTGTGGTAAACCAATCTTGAATAAGAGGCCTACAAAATCCAAGCCTCAAGCACAATATCAAGCCCTCTAGACAACAATACCCTCAATGACCAAGACAAGCCCCTTCTGGAATATTCAGCCAACCTGCAACACCATGGATGTCACAAGACCAAGCCCCCTGGACAGAAGACACTCTGGATTTTCATTTCATTTCTTTATTAAATAATCATCTCATGCAGTCTTACATCATCAATCCCCATTCAGCCTTCCACACTTGGCCTCTGCATGTGTTTCAATCTAATCCAATTTCACTCTAGTCTCATTTCCACTTTGGGCCACATTCTATTGTTTCACACTATTCCTCTTGGGTTATTTTCATGTCTCAAACTAGTACACATCTGGCTAGTTAAATTATCTCTTTGGTATATTCTTTCTCCCTCATTGGTTGTGGCACATTTCATCCCTGCATGTCTCTGATTTCATTTCCTCCATTCATCTTGATGCCTACCAATTGGGCCACATGTTTCAGTTGGATAATTTTCTCTTGTTTCATTTTGTTCCATGGTGATTCTAACCACAAGCTGGCCACTCCCCAGATTTTGTATATAAGGAGCCTTGTTTTCCCCTCTTCATTTGTTCCCCATCAGATCCTGCCCCAGCAATCCAGATGACTGATCACCCTTCATTAGCCTAGTAGTTGCCCACCAACATTTGGGATACTAGTATTATTCAGACAGAAGACATACCCATCTCAAGAATACTCCAAAGCCACACCTTTCCTTAAGAGTCCATACTCTTATCTTTTTCTTGTTATCTTACTCAACCCAGTTTCCAGAGAGGCAGCCCATTGAAGCATCTTTCCCTCTCCAGCTCTATTCATCCCAAAGAGTAGTTTCACAACAGATCACAGCTTTGAGATAATATCAGGTTCAGGCTCAGGCATATAAAACGTTTTGACCAGTGTGGAACTGCTCAGCTAATGAGTGAAGAGCTTGGAGGGGATAAATATTAATAAAACTATAGAATAGTGATAATAATAAATGGGTGTTGGTGAGACTGCCCTCCTTGTCTAGCTTGTGAGAGAGTTACACTAAGAAAAATAATAGTGTGGTAGATTTCTAAAATTTATCTTAGTGAAGATACTACCTGTTGAGAATGTTGGTTGTTTATAAGGGTGGATGGAATGGATGGTCAAAAGCTTCTGGTGTTATGAGATTTCTGAGGGTTTCAGGTTTATTCTGGTCTGTGAAGACAATAACTGGATCTCTGGTTCAATTCTGGGTCATTAATAAAGTGAGTTTTTATTTCTTTAATATCTTCTGTTGAGAGTTTGAGGAGAGTTAAATAATTTCCTTATTATTTAACAGGGTTCAATATATGGGTGAGAAGTAAGGGTTTTAGTAATATCTCTTATTACTATTCTGTATCTAAAATATAAGGGTTGATGAAAGCTAAGTAATATCTCTAATTACTATTCTGTAGCTAGCATGGGGAGGTAGGGAGGAAAACATGAGCCAGAAGGGACCTCTATTTATAGACAAAATCTTTGGTGGGGATGGTAAACAGCTTCACTGATGAGAATGCTTGGTCTGACTGGGTAATGACCTCATACCGCTAATTTAATGATGTCATGCTATGAAATTAATGATTTACAGCTGTGAATTTAATGATTTACAGCTGTGAATTTAATGATGTGCAGCTGTGGAATTAATGTTGTGCTGTTGTGAAATCAAAATTCTACTGCTATGTTGGTCAATGATGTCATCTGTGTGATTAATGGTCCTTATGTTGTGAAATAATGATGAGTGGCTGTGTAATTAATTAAGGGCATTAATAAAAAAACACGGTTTTTCGGCGTTTACACATGGTTTTGCTGCGGCACAGCGCACGCGGTTTCCGCGTTTACACACGGTTTTTTATTTAATTTTTTACCGCTTATTTTTCGAGTTTTTTTGAATCTTTAAAGTTGTTTCCTACACTTTAAAAGGTGTAGAATTTAATGGTAAAAACCATTTTCCATAAAAATGAATTTTGATTATTAATTTTTTTTTTTTCACTCATTTCTCAATTAATTGTTTGCATACATGTATGTACCTTATTTTTTATGTTTTTTTGAAATTTTAAATTTATTTCCTAGGTTTTAATGTGCGTAGAATTTAATGAAGCAATTCAATTTTTTTAAAACTCAACGGTTCACTTTTAATACTCAAATTACCCCCATTTTTTCACTTAAATTTTTAGAGCTTAATTTTCATTCTTTTTCGACATTTTAAATCTTTTTCCTACACTTTCAGACATGTATAAATTTATGGTAAAAATCATTTTGCACCAAAATGAGAACTGCAACTTGTATACTGCATTTGACACCCTTTTTTTATTTAATTCTTCACTTTTTCACTCAATTGTTTGCATTAATTTTTTTACCTTATTTTTTATGCTTTTTTGAAATTTTAAAGTTGTTTCCTACATTTCAAAGTGTTTAGAATTTAATGGTAAGATTCAATTTTACAGTGGACCTGGACCGACAATCAGAGGGTCAACCAACTGTGAGAATGAAAACGAAAGCGAAGTCAATTAAATGTTTTGGACCCTGTACTCAGGCTGTACAGAAAATTTATGTACCTCCGGCTCTGGTCTGTATGCAGGTAACAACCTGACGAAAACATCTGAATAACATACACAGGGAGGAATCCATCCCAGCGATGTGAAGCATCATCCTCCAAAAAACATTTTGAGGTCTAGTTCTCGAATTCAGGAGCATGGTAGGCATGGATTTTATCTCCTTCACCATGGCTCATGAAACCTCCTTGTTTCTGATGCAGCCAGAGTGACCGACCACACAACACTTCCAGCGCATGCTGTGTTTCCAAAAGAAGCTGGATACAATTTTTTGGCTGGTGATTCCACGATCAAAACAGAGACCAAAAAAGTGCATTACATGAATCTATGCAAGACAATTGGCTCATTCATGGAAACCAGTCCTCAAATCAACCCTGCTTCAGCTGTTTTCTTGAATCATCATGAATTGTCTTGAACTCTTCCTTATCCATGGTAAACATAGCTATGTTGCCTTGTTAATTTTGCATTGCCACTGCCAGGTGAACAATGCTTCATTTTTCATGAACATGCAAATTCATACGACTAGGGGGAAATGGAACTGTATACATTCCTACTTAAACTTTCATCCTTTCCCTAATATTTTTAGCCATCCTTCCCAAACTACCACCCTAGTCTCATCTTATCTAACATCATGCCTCTTTGTAGACGGTGTAAACAATTTACCCATGGCCAGCTATTTGCAGATGCATGTCAGAATTGCTTTCAATCATTCATGAATAACAACACCAAACCCCCTCCAAATCATCACCCTCGTCCATCCCAATTTCATCACACTCCACCCATACCAATCTCCAATCCACTTGTCACAAAAACCAATGCCTTCCCAGCTGTGCCTGCATCCCACATCCCCAGCCAATCAACCTCCTCAAATGCTCATCATGCTGGAGATCATGCATATGCACGACATCTTGCCCGGTCAGCCAGGACAGGAAAGTCTAAAGTGCCTGTGAAAGGCACCCAATCTGGCACCAAGGCCATTGATTGTTCATTGATTCTATATGATGATGGTGTTCTTTTAGACAAGAAAGGCCTATTCACTGTTGTAAAGTCGGTCAACCTCGACGATCCAAACCTCTACAACAACCTCCGCATTCAACTTTGGAAGGCTTTTGCTCCAGAGATACTCGCACATACTCACAGAATGATCACTGCAAGCTCCCCCATGGAGCACTGTTTCTAGCTCATGGAACTGCGAAGATACCAAATAAAGAAGTACTCAGCACGGTATCTCTGATCATGGGCCCCGGAAGAAGCTTGCTCTTAATCTGATGTATTTTCACCCGGATAAACTAGCTCAAGCCCATTATCCTCTCTAGACGTATCCTCAACACTTCATTCAACCAAGAAATCTACCAAGTTACCTCAAACTCGTTCCCGAAAACAATACAATACCTCACCTGGAAAAACCATCAGTAGCTCAAAGGTGACAGCTAAGTCATGGGCCCTTGGTGGATCAGTAAACCCTAAGAAGATGAAGAGTCAAGCGGATTTGGCCTCTCATATAAGCCGTCTTAGCAAGCGGCCACTTGACTCAATCCAACATAACACCCCCATTGAATCGCCCAGATGGATTATTGGTAAACGATTGGACTTTTTCACCAGTCCTCCACCACCTGCATCAAACTTGATCCCAGAATCCACCCAATTCCAACTTCCAAATGGTATCTATGTGATTGCACATCCAATCACCTATCACATCAATTTCAAACAAAAGATTGGCGAGGGAACCATGCAAAGAGCTTATGCAGCTGAGGTGAAAACGGATCTGGGGGGTGGAATTGAACATGTTAATAATTGGGTAGCAAAGGTACGAAAAAGTGATATCAAACCCTCCATTACAAAGCATGCAAATGATGCTCTTATGTATGAGGGTTTTGCATATCTTCTCAATGGATATAAGGAAAGTCTGAAGAAGTGTGAGCACTTGGACAAAAACTTGAGAATAAAGGCCTCAAGGATTGAGGTAAGTGAGAATCAAATGCATTTAATCATATTATTTGATCTTTTGCTAATAATACCTGATTCTAATGATTTTACAGCTTGTTCAACATGGTGTGATTGCCACAGGTGATATGGAATCACCAACCAATGTCTACTTTTTAGAGTCTGCACTCGATGGTCCTTATGTGAAATACTCAAGTAACATCGATTTTTCAAGACCTGAAAATGAAGATACGATAGATCCAGAATTGTTCGAATTGATGGATGCTTTCACCCATTGGTCCTATAATCAATCTGATGGAAAGTATCTGGTCAGTGACCTTCAGGGAGTTGGTGCAATGCTGACAGATCCCCAGATTGTCGATATGGATCCTGAGTAAGTTAAACGTTCACTTATTGCACTCAACAATGTAAATAATAATAATATGATATAATTTTTAGCTGCTGGTCAGATGGGAATACAAGTGCAGAAGGAATCAAATCCTTTATCAACATGCATACTTGTCATCCAGGAAACACCGTTTGTGAGGCCCTCAACCTGGGCAGAATCGTCGACTTGAAATGGAACAAACCTCCTCACTCACTAGCCCACCTCCTTGCATCAAGAAATAAGGCCACCTTCAATTGAGTTTCAGTTCCTCAAGATTCTAATTGTTGTACGGGTGTGCAAACTCCACATTTGGAGTAGAGGACACAGAAGAGGCGGACCAGAAGGGAGCAATGTAGACCAGGCATTCCTAACCACAACAGATTAAGAGTACGCTGCTCTACCCAACGACTAGCCGACACATCGAATGGTACATACCCGACGTTCGACAAAAGATACTCTCTTCGGCCCACTACCTCCTCCAACTCGACGCCGCAGACCGGTTTCCATCTTTGAACGACAACGCAAACTTGAATACCGCAGACTATCAAAACTTCCAGCACTCCCACCATCGCCCCCTCTGACCCCACCGCCTCAGAACCCCACCGACACCCAGCCAACCTTACAACTCGGTTCTCTTATTGAGGACCTGAACAACTTCAGTATATCCGACGTAGACCCGGTTATCCCTGACTTTCCACGTAACCCAACCATCGACCTGCCCATCGACAACAATCGACCTCCGTCACCTTTTCTTTCCCCCCTATCTCATATATTCTCCCAGTTTCTCACTCGGCATTCTCCGGCATTCTCCCCTCGCATTCGACCATTTTCTCCGATTGAACGGCCCACCCAAATGTCGACATCGACATCGTCCGAAATAACACCTCGTTCCAAATTTTTGCAACAGCCTAGGATCTACAAACAGGACGTTGAACAACTCACCGCCGATGGGTCCAACTTCGACAAGTGGAAGAGGGGACTCACACGAATCGTTCTCCTCACCCTCGGTCACCCTAATTTCTTCGACAAACCGGAAAACTACTCCAAGTTATCGGACCAGGAGAATACATGCTTATTATTTCTCATACAGATCACGATCCACGATGAACTCGCCTCCCTCGTTGACCAATACACCAAAGGCACTGAAGCCTATGATGCCGTCCAAACCAACTTCCAGGGTACGGTTCGATTTCGACAGATGGAACTCATCGACAAACTACTCGAGTTGCGGGTATCCGGTCCGTCCACCGAGCCAGCACAAATTCCCGGCCTGTTCAACAAGATTTTCGAGACCTTCACGGGCTTACAGAAAGTTGGCGCCGGCCTTTCGCCTCTGGTCGAGAGTCTTATACTCCAAGCCGTTGTCCCTGCTCCCTCATCAATGTCCCGATCCCAACTCTTTCAGAACATCTCCCTCCAACTTGGCAAAAAGCCAGACGTCACGGCCCGCGATATCCAGACCATCATTACGTCCGCGTATGGAGAATCTCTCCGTTTTGACTCGTCACCATCTTCCACCGTCTCTGTCTTTCGCACATGGCCCAATCAGACCCAATGGGGCACTTCGACCCAAAATCCGATTCGCCCTCCTCGACAAAACCCTTTTCAACAGATCAACCCTGGTGCTCAACAATCACCTTCATCGCTCAACATCAACCGTCAACCAAATGTCGGACGACCCGGCCACCCAACTATTGATGACATCGCTGCAGCAATCAACAACATCAGGAAAGGCAACCGGGGTCCGAGTGATCCTAACATCTTCACCGGCAAACCATGTTCCTACTGCGGCGGGTCGGGACACTGGAGATCGTCGTGCCCGACGCTCCGCAGAGATGCCAATCTGCCACCTCCCGACACCTCCACACCTGGTCGCCCCGCTTCCGGTTTCGCCCGCCAAGCGGCACCCCCGAACGACTCTGCTACTGGCTCGACCTCTAATGCGGCAGTTAGATCGGCCGTGGCTGCGGATGCGACGGGTGCCGACGGCGCAGGCACGGTTTTGGATTCTGGGGCGACCCATCACGTGAGCGGCTCTTTCCATTTGTTTTCCAACTTATCATGCCTCCGCCCGCCAATCAAGCTGAATCTAGCTTCCTCTGATGGTTCCATGATGGCGACGCTGTGAGAACTCCTTTTGGGAATGGTGGCAGTCCTGTGAGGGGGAAATAGCAGATGAGATATATTACGTATGTAATGATCCACTACAACTGTTACGGCTGGTTTGAAAGACCTGCCCCTCTATTGTACTACACAAGAGTTAACACAACAATTTATTTATTGTTGTGGAAAAAAACTGATGATAGAGAAAACTATGTGTAGCAGTCTCTTATCAAACCTAGATCAACGTGGATTCAGCAGACTATTTGAGTGGAAATGTTTGAGTAAGAGGTGTTTTTCTGTTTATATGTTTATGTATTTTGAGAAATGATTGACGTATGTACTGATGATGAATGTGAATTTATGAGATGATATTGTGGAAAAAAATGCGACTATTGAAAGTGTCTTTCCCTTCCTCCTTGAATCTTAGTCAAGAGCACAATGGTTTAAGATCACTGTCTCTTGTTTAAGATCACAAGTTGTACTGGTTGCTACTTTCTTTTCCCTATGCTTCTCAATGGCTGAATGATCTCAATGGGGCACTTGATTAAGATCACACTGGTTAATGTATGGATTGATTGCTCTGTTCTGTCTGGTTGATGATCAGATGAGATGATCTGTTGTGATGAGATGATCTGATGAGATGAGATGATGAGATGATTGGAATGAGGGGGGAAAGCCCCTCCTTAAATAGTCTATTTTACAACCCGGCTGACTTGTGGTTCTAGCCCTAACCTATAATCTATAAATGGCCAACTTGTGGTTCTAACCCTAACCTATAATGAATATGCATATAATCATCTGGCCAAATTGTGGTTTTGCTACTATACAAAATTCACAGTGTACCTACAAACAATGTGGCCAACTTGTGGTTACACTATGCAATAATCATTTTTTATGCAAATAAAATTTAAATCCCAAATAACGTTTGACTGAGTGGAGCTAGCCTAGTGGTTCCAGTGAGTGACTATGGGTTAAATGACCCGTAGAATGTGATTATGCCATAATACGCCTAAGAATATATGCCCTTCTACAAATTGGACTGTGACTTTATCCAATTTGATACTTGAAACACAATTGGCATACTACAACGCACAGTGGTCACCTGAGGATAATCAGTGGGGATGGTTCCCTAATGATCTCGCGGGTGCTGTACAGCCCGGACATGACGGGAACGCTTCTTAGCCTCGGACAACTGATCGACTCCGGCTTTAGACCTTCATTCCTCCCGAACAACGACATCCTTTTGACATCCTCTTTCATTTCTATCATTGCTAAATACATCAATCGATCATGGATGATTTTCCCGACATCTTGGCACCGCACAAACTACTCCATCAAGTCTGCTTCTGTCACTGCCCCACCCCACCTATCTTCTCCCTCATATGATTGGCACTGCCGTCTTGGACACGTATCGGACTCTGTCGTGAAGGACTTCCTCAAACGCTTTGTTCCCACTTTCGACATCAAAAATTGGACAATCAACTCTTTCGACATCACGGGCGCTTTTGTTCACAGCCCGATTGACGAAACCATTTATGTCGACCCTCCGGTGGAACTTTTCCCGCATCTCAATGGTAAAGTTTTGAAACTCAAAAAGGCTCTATACGGAACTCGACAGGCCAGTAGATGCTGGTGGAAACACTTCAAGAATCTCCTACATAACTGGGACTTTGATTGTGATGAAGTTGAGGAGTGTTTGTATCGATATCGGAAGGGTTCATCGGTCATCATCATTTGGATTCACGTGGATGACGGGATTGTTTTCAGCAACGACACAATCACTTTGGGCCAACTGCGGAACAATCTCGAGTCTAGTCTGCGAGTGAAATGGGACGACAGACCTGAAAAACTGGTTGGCCTCAAACTCGATTATTCAGGCGATGCCATATACCTCAGTCAACGCTTGCTCATTGACCAAACGATCAAAAAATTTCGCGAAGAAGTTCAAGACAAAATTATCCCTACTTACACCCCTCTCCTAGGCGACAACCTGGTGACAAACTGGGGAGATTCCGTATCACCGACTCTATATCAATCCTTCATCGGTTCCCTTAATTATCTGGCCCTTGGAACAAGGCCGGACCTCAGCTACGCGGTCAACTACTTGGCACGATTTAGTTCAAATCCAAATGAAACTCACTGGGCGGCCCTATCCCATCTGATCCAATACCTTGCAACAAACAGTGACAAAAGATTGAAACTGCAGGTGACTTCCGATTCTGTCGTAACGTGGTCCGACGCGAACTGGGGTGGAGAATTCCAACGGTCAACTTCTGGATTCCTCATCACATTCCTCGGAAGTCCAATTGCATGGGGATCGAGGCGCCAGAAGGTGGTTGCAACATCCACTTGCGCGGCAGAGTTCATTTCCCTCGGCTCGTCGGTCGATTTCCTTTTATTCCTCATTCCTATATTTCAATCTCTCGAAATACATCCACCTCTCCATCTCAACTGCGATAACAGGGCGGCAGTGTTGGTTTCGGACGACAATGCCTCGAAAGGACGCATGAAGAGTCTGGAACGCAATTTCTTTTCTCAATGATGCGGTTCGTGAACACAACATCAAGCTTAACTGGGTATCAACTTCATCCAATATTGCTGATTTCTTCACCAAGTCACTTCGGGCCAACTTACACACCATATCCTTGAATGAAATATTTCCAAAATAAAAAAAAAAAAAAAAAAAAAAAAAAAAAAAAGAGGAAGAAGAAAGGGGGGGGGATAATTTGTTTATCCATCATTTTTATCTACGGCTCATGTTTTCATTTTTTTTCTTTCTTGTTTTTCATTTTCATTTTCATTTTTTTTCCTTAACTTTAACACTTTTTTATTCTTTCCATTGTTTTATTCTCCATTATTCTATATTTTCTTCCATCTCTGACTGCTGATTTATTCCAACTCAAACTCTCTCATATTATCTGGTTGTTTCTATATGCTAGATTTCTTTACTTGTTATCATGGTTGTATGCACTGGTGTGGAGTTTGAGGGGGGGTGTTGTACGGGTGTGCAAACTCCACATTTGGAGTAGAGGACACAGAAGAGGCGGACCAGAAGGGAGCAATGTAGACCAGGCATTCCTAACCACAACACTAATCAATGATTTCATTGATTAAAATATTTCTCTATCCGATTTTCCTGATTTCGCATCAAATTATTCCCTGATTATACTTCTTATCACTGTTTGAATATGTCATTGTATGCATTTTTCTTGTATATACTTGAATATTGATCTTTTCAGCTCTTTATCTCTCTGATTTTCCTGCTTTCTCCTTCAATGACTCTCAGATTGTCTTTCTTCTTAGCATTGTTTCTTGTATATACTTGAATATTCAATCAAAAATTATGGCCTCTGGATATTTTGAGCCCTTAATCTCTCTGATGTTCCCGCTTTCTCCTTGAATTCATCTCAGATCATGTTTCTTCTTAGCATGGTCCGAGTACATGGGTGCAGAATCGTTGGAGTTTTACATGAGCAATCTTAAAAAAAATGCACACCTGTCGAGGTCAGCTATACTGAATCACTTCTCCAGATCCCCATGCACAAAAGCAGAGTCTAGCCAAGATGGTGATCAGCAGTGACCTGGACTTACCACACTGATAGCAGCCAAGTCACCCATTACTCATTTGAGTCGCATTGGTGTGGAAAAGGGAATAGATAGACCATCACTCATGGTCACACGTTCAATTCCCTCCGAAGGCAATCCTTTCAGGAAATGATGTATCTTGCCAGTTAAATACTATCTGGTCCGGGCATGTAAAGGACCCAGCTGGGCTTGATTGAATTACCGGTTCCTGGCTCAGATAAATTCTGCATGGTCTGAACCCATCTGGTTTGAATGGTGGTAGAGATTTCGAAGCTAAGTGAACATCTTGATTCAGAATTCAAAAGCAAGGAAATTTGGATGCCTTTGCATTCATTCACACTCACGCTTAGACAAAATTCATGAGAACATTCCAATCCTCCCGATTCTATCTCAAAATTCAACCCTTCTATTCACCAATCACCTATATTGCTATGACTTCTTATGATAACCTTGGGATAACTGATGATGGGTTTTCCCCTGCTTCCACCATTAGTTATCCAGATCGTACTGATTTCCCTGAAGTTGTCAGGGGTTAAGCAATCCTAACCCCCTCATAAGAATAAAAAAAAGAATAAATAAAAAGAAATAAAGCGCGGGACGCTTGAATGAATAAAAGAATAAAGAATAAAGAAGCGGCGCAGCAAGAAGTCAAGAACCAACGCGATGCGGCGACGCAACGCGTACCTATCCCCAACTGTTGAAAGAGCATCTACTAGTTCCATCCTGTTCCTTGAACCCCAAGGAATAGGATGACCACAAATCGGCCAGCTGGTCCTACAATATTTAAGAGAACCGCTGGCCCGATCACTTCCTTTTTTTCCTTCTTCCTCAGACCAATATATAATCACGACAGCCTAGATACTATCAGTACCTTAGTATACCCAGATCCAAGCCGACACTCTAGCACTCGTAAATTCTAAACGCTCGTGCGAATAGGATTTTCACTACCTAGACTCGAGGCTCCTGCCTACTACGTCTCCGATAGTCTGAAGCTTAGTTTTAATTTAGTCTCTACGCCTCACGAACTCCTACGACTTACTACGACCTCCCACAATCCTCTGACGCCCTCTACGAGTTACCTTTCAAGTGTTCTCCCGCTTGTTAACTTGAAGTGTTAAAGTTCCCAACTCTAGCCTACAGAGATTGGTTGCCCCGGTCGCTAGACTGCTGGAAGATTCACGTAAGCCTCATTGAGTTATCTCTGAGCCGTGCTACCTCGAGACTCCTCATTAATCTTCTTCCTTATCTCAATCAGACTTATAGGCCTAAACATCTAGTCAGGCTATAGTTACTACCTCTCCGTCACACGTAAGTACCCCAAGCCTGACAACTGGGGGTCTGGCCGGGAAATACTAACTCTAGACCACTTATTTTTCAAAAAAAAAAACAATCCCGAACCTCTTGAGTAAGTCTATGAGCGATAGCCCTTCCTATCCTACT